GGTGTGTGAGAGGGGAGGTTGTGAGGCTGAGGCCTAGGGTGTGTGAGAGGGGAGGTTGTGAGGCTGAGGCCTAGGGCGTTTGAGAGGCGTAGTTGTGCGACTGAGGCCTAGGGCGTGTGAGGGGGAGGTTGTGAGGCTGAGGCTGGGGAGCTTGTCTGGCGTCTGACCACGATGGGGGAGGCTGAGGCTGAGGTGCTGCTGAGCTGCTCAGACCTCCAGAGGCTGGATGCGATCGGCACAGCTCATGGGAGAAAACCCCTCTGACCAGGGTGTGGGGGCAAGGAGGCCTTTAGATCCCCTGGGATAGGACTAAGCTGGGTGCATGGTGGGGGTACTGGGAGAGGCAAGAAAGCCTGGCCCCTCCCTTATTCCCCACCTTCCCTCTACAGGAAAACCTCCCAAACCCTATGGAGGGCCCTCGGAGCCCTGGGATACCGAGGCGAGTAGAGCCTCAGCCCCGGAATAGGTCAGGGAGGGCGGGCAAGACAAGAACAGGGCAGCAGAGGGACGCGTCCGCCAGCCAGGGCCCGTAGAGGGTGTGGCACATTTGGACTGGACCTAAGAAGGAGTGGGGTGGTCGGAGCACCACCTACCCACCTGTCTTCAACCTCCAGCACAGTTATGCAGAGCCGGTTATTCAGAGCCGGGAGTGGGGCCCACGCCCCTCCAGCCTCACCCCAGGCGAGGCCTGACAGCCCCTCCCCAAGTCAAATAGCCTGCTGCCCACAGACCCACCTCCCCGCCAAGACTGACCATGGTAAGAGTAGGGACAAGGAGAGGGTAAGAACCCTGAGGGCTAGGGAACGAAAGAGGATAGATGAGAGCACGGAGCCTCAGAGTCAAGGAAATTCGAGGGGGTGGGCAGAGGGCCACAGGTGCCCCACCTGACCCTGAGCCACCCCCTTGCTCAAAGGTACAGATATGCCACTGGGGTGTGTGTGGGCAGGTTCTGATCACCACCCCCAAGTCCCTCCCACCCATGCCCAGAAGAGCCCCAAAGAAGCCATAGCTCCACCCCAAGGTTACTTGCAATTATGGACTCCTCTCCGCCCGCCCTGCCTCCCTCTGCACAGATGACGCAGCGAGGTCAGAGGAAGGGGCGGAGGCAAGGCCAGACTCACCCTTACCAGGGGCCCACTCCCAACTGCAGGTGCTCCTGGCCCTATCACAGTGCTTTCACAAGCACCTGGATGGGCTTGAAGTGGATGATGGTTTCTGCCCCTACTTGTCCCTGCCCTGCTCATCAGCTCACTGCCACCAGATGGCGGTAACAAGCTATGTCTGTCTACGCAGAAGTAGGAACTACACCAGACTGGGCTACCAGACAATGGTGCCTTTCCTGCTACAGGCTGATTGAACGAAATGAGGTTTACTAATCAGACCCTGGAACCCTGGTGGCAAAGTGGTTAAGAGCTTGGCTGCTGACCAAAAGGTTGGCAGTTCGAATCCACCAGCTGCTCCTTGGAAACCCTATGGGGCAGTTCTACTCTGTCCTGTGGGGTCGCTGTGGGTCAGAATCGACTAGGCAGCAGCAGGTTTTTAATCAGCCCCTGTCCTAGAGGGGCAAGAGTCTGGACCAAAGTTCCAGCTCAGCCACTGACTAACTATACGGATGAGTAAGGCTCTCCTTCTCTCTGGGCCTCAGTTTCCTCATCGGATGCCCTCTCGTATTTATGGGTCCTCCCCACTTCCTAGGGAGGCCACCTCCCCCTGAGGTCGGCAAGTCCCCTCCCAGAAGTAACTCCCCACTTCCTAGGGAGGCCACCTCCCCCTGAGGTCGGCAAGTCCCCTCCCAGAAGTAACTCCCCACTTCCTAGGGAGGCCACCTCCCCCTGAGGTCGGCAAGTCCCCTCCCAGAAGTAACCCTGGGGAAGGGTCTTAGTTCAGAGACGGAGCACTGGACTGAGTCCAGAGGGCCTAGTCCTTCTCCAACCTGACCCCATGGCCTCAGACCTGTTCTTTGTCCCTCTCTGTGCCTCAGTTTCCTCATCACTATCCTGGACTACATAGATCCTGCCCTGCTTCCACCCCCACCCCACCCACTTCAAGTGTCCGGTGGGAGTTTATGAGATGGAGCGGGTCAGTTTGGCCTGGGGTCATGGCCTGGCTTCTCGTGGCTGTGATGATGATGTGTGTGAGAGAACAGCTTGGAGTTGGTCAGCGTGGGCAGGGGCTTCAGCAGCAACAGAGGGGCCCCACTGACTCTCATGTGCACCCCCCTCCCCAGGTGGGGCCTGCCTGGGGAAATCCTGTGGCCGGAAGAGAAAGTGAGCTTCCCAGGACCCCTGACTCACGACCTCATCAACGTTGGTGCTACTGCTTGGTGGAGAATGTAAACCCTTTGTGACCCCTCCCCACGCCCCTCCTAACCCCTGCTCTGGGAGGGGACGGGGCAGGCCGGGCCGCTTGGAAATCCACAGGGCAAGGAACCAGGAGAGTGGCGGCCAGGAGGCCCCCAGGAGGTCTCCCACTTCAGAGGCAAGAGGTGGGTGGGCTCGGCCCCCTGCCCCACCCCATTCCCACCCAGGAGCTCCCCCTCCACACTCGCTATCTCTGGGGAACTTGGTGCTACATGCTGGTGCTCTCATCTTCCTGGGCGGAGGGAGGAGGGAGGGGCGGCCCCTCGGGAACCCCTTCCCCGGGGCTCCTCTGAAGATGGTGCAGACACTTCCTGGGCAGTCCCATGTCCCCCTGCCCGCCAGGACCCACCCCTGGCTGTGGTCCAGTTGGTACCCAAGCACCTTAAGCCTCAAGCTGGATTCGGTCACACCATCCCCTGCCCCCTTGGCCCCCCTCTCCCCCACCAATTGCTGTTCCCCACATCTGGAGTGTCTTCCTGTCCGAAGACCCCCATTGGGAATAGCCCCCTTGCTCTTGTGGAATCCATCTGCCCATCTGTCCATCTGTCCATCCTTGTCCCCAGTTTACCGCCTGGCAACACTAGCTGGCTGGGTGCCCCGCCATCAACCTGGTTAACCTGTCTTGGCCCTGCCTCCGCCCCCACCACACAGCCCCTGTAAAGGGGCTGTGCGAGTCGAGGGTGTGAGGGCTGTGCCGGCTGGGATGGCCGGAATCCCTCCCCAACCTTGGTCTCCCCACACGCAGTACTGTATCCCTGGTGCCCCTGAGCCACTGTATTTCAGAGCATCCCTCCTGCCCGCCCATCTCTTTGTGTCTCGCTGTGATAGATCAATAAATATTTTATTTTTTGTCCTGGATATTTGGGGATTGTTTTTTATTGTTGATGTTCTCGTTGGGCTTTATTTTTGTCGTTAATTGGGAGGAAATTTTTTTCTCTGATCTGGGGAGCTGTATCCCCAGTAGAAAGCTCATTTTAATCACTTTGGTATAACTCTGAACGAAACACACATTTTTTTAATAAGAAAAGAGAATAACTGCTTCATAAAAGACTAATAAATGAAAACCTTTTAAAGGAAACTGTGTCCTGGTCTCTTTTATGCCCTTCCATCTGCCTCCAACTCCCCACCAGGTGGGGAACAGGGCTGTGCCCAGGGGAACCTGGGGACCCCCCCGCCCCACCATGACACGGGTATATTTGAAGGCTGGCTTTGGCATATTGGTCCTTTAACAATGAAAGGCCCTTTTCAGAGGAAGTAGGTGCCCCGTCAGCCCCACACATACTCGCCCGGGATCAGGGTCCTGAGTGGGTTCCCTCTGTGGAGGTGGCCTCACCCACCCAATCACACCTACCCCTTAGGCCCCAGGTCCTTGAGCACAGCCTGCAATCATTGAGGGCACAGCAGGAGGCAGAGGACATGAACCGGACCTCCAGTCCAGAAACCAGACCCTTGGCCTGGTGAACAGCCAGGTAGAGAGAGGAAGAATGGCCTGACGTCTGGGAGCAAGAGAGATCACCAAGAAAACTCAGAGGACAATGCACAGAGGGTCCGCCTACTTCCCTCTGAAACAGTCCCTCAACCATGACCTCCTGTAAGGAACTGCTTCACCTTTTACAGAACAACAAAGACACCCACAGGCTGCCCTAGGAGACTCAGTACCACCCTCAGGTCCAGGCAAGAAAGCCCATCCCCGCTCCTGGCTGTGCTCACCTGGAGCCCACCTGCCCTTCTAGACCACTCGCTGAGTACCGGTCCTGGAATTCCCTCCCCAACCACCGAGCAGCCGGCTGCCAGGGCCTCCTGGCCTCAGCCTGAGCCCACCCTGAGAGCAGACCCTGTCGATAGCACGCAGGCCCTCTCAGCCAGAAGGGTGTCCAGGGGTGGCTGCAGCTGGGAGTGTGGGTGGAGCTCGCACGTGCAGACTGTGACATCCATCTTCAAGTTATGCACAAGGCCCCTCGCAGTGCCAGGAGCTGGAGATGGCAAGAGAAAGGGGGTGGGGGAGGGGATGATCAGGGAGAGCTTTCCAGAGGGCAGTGAAGGGCAAAAGGCAATTTACCAGACAAAGAATAGAACTGGGAGGAGCAGGGGCAAAGGCCCTGAGGGCAGCAGAGCCACAGCGCCTTGAGAGTGGGGAGAACTGAGGAAGTATGCACGTGGAGGGAGGCTCAGGGAGACCCACAAGGCGGCTGCTGATGGTCCATTGAGGATCCACACAGCCTACCCAGAGGAGTTTCATTCATTCATTTGCTAATTCATTCACTAATTCATTGAACAGGAGTCCCTGGGTGGCACAAACAGTTAAACACTCAGCTACTAACCCAAAGGTTAACAGTTCGAGCCCCCCAGAGGCACCTCAGAAGAAAGACCTGGCAATCTACTTTTAAAAGATCACAGCCATTGAAAACCTTATAGAGTACAGTTCTACTCTGACACACGTGGAATCGACTCAACGGCAACTGGTTTGTTTGTTTGTTTTCATTTTACAAAAATATCCCTTGCTGGTTCCTCCTCATCTCCCCGGCCTCAAACAGCTGGCAAGCCCCAGCATTCAGCCCCAGGACCTCACTGCCTCAGTTTCACACAGTTCATGGCTTTAAATATACTTGGCAAGATTTCAACCCGCTTACTTTGGACACGTCATCAGGAAAGACCAACTGCTAGAAAAGGACATCATGTTTGATAAAGTGGGCAGCCAATGAAAACAAGAGAAACTCTCAATGAGATGGATCAGCTCAGTAGCCACAGCAATGGACTCAAACATACCAACGATTATGAAGATGGTGCAGGACCAGGCAACATTTCATTCTGTTATACATAAAGTCGGCCTAAGTCGAATCCAACTTGACAGCAACTAACAACATACATGGGTGACTCCCAGATGGGCATCTCCAGCATGGACCTCTCCCCTGAGCTCCAGGCTGGCACGTCCACCAGCCAGTTCTTAAGTTCTCCACCCAGAAGTCACATAGGCATCCCATACGTAGCCTGGGTCCTCTTCCCCCCAAAGCCTGCTTCCCTCCTGGCCTTCCCCTTCTCAGTGAATGGCAGCTCCTCTCCTCTGGAGGTAACACCAGCAACTCTGGAGCCATCCCTGACTCTTCTCTTTCTCCCACTCTGCACAGCAGATTCTCCAGCAAATCCTGCAACGTGACCTTCAGAAGACGCCTTGAGTCCAACCACTTCTCACAATCTCAGCCTCTGCCCTGGCCCAGGCCACCAGCATCGATCCCTACAGCCTCCTAGCTGGGATCCCTGGCTCTGCCCTGCCTTCCCTTTAGCCTTCCCTCGGCGAAGCAGCCAGAACTATCCTTTTATTTAAATTTTTTTTATTTTTGTGCTTTAGATGAAGGTTTACAGTACAAATCAGACTTCTCATTAAATAACTAATACAGATATTGTTTTGTGACATGGGTTGCCAACTCCAAGACATGTCAACACTCACTCTCTTTCTCGACCTTGGGTTCCCCATTTCCATTCATCCAGCTTTCCTATCCCCTCCTGCCTTCTCATCCTTGTCCCTGGGCTTGTGTGCCCATTTAGTCTCGTGTACATGGTTGAGCTACATGTATTATTGTTCGTTGTATGGGCCTGTCTAATCTTTGGCTGAAGGGTGAAACTCAGGAGTGACTTCAGTACCGAGTTAAAAGGGTGTCTAGGGGCCATACTCTCGGGGTTTCTCTAGTCTCTGTCAGACCAGTAAGTCTGGTCTTTTTTTTGGGTTAGAATTTTGTTCTACATTTTTCTCCAGCTCTGTCTGAGCAGTCGGTGGTGGTAGCTGGACACCACCTAGTTGTGCTGGACTCACTCTGGTAGAGGCTATGGTAGTTGTGGTCCATTAGTCCTTTGGACTAATCTTTCCCTTGTGTCTTTGGTTTTCTTCATTCTCCCTTGCTCGCAAAGGGGTGAGACCACTCACAACTTTGCAGACCCTAGACACTACTCACCAAAGTAGGATATAGAACATTTTCTTTACAAACTATGTTATGCCGATTGAGTTAGATGTCCCCTGAGACCATGGTCCGCAGCCCTCAGCCCAGTAACTCAGTCCCTCAGGGAGTTTGGATGTGTCTGTGAAGCTTCTGTGACTTTGCCCTGCTCAAGTTGTACTGGCTTCCCCAGTACTGCAGAACAATCCTTTTAAAACTAAGTCAGCTATGGCCTGCTACGGCCCCGTCTCACTCAGAGCCAAAGCTAGAGGCCTTTCAAGTGCTCTAGGAGGCCCTACCTGAGCTGCACCAGCTGTTCTGACCTCACGAACCCCAACATGCCATGCAGCCACCCTGGCCCTCTTACTTTTCCTCAATGCAGCAGGCCACACACTGCAGGCCTGGGCATCTGCTGTGTCTTCTGCCCATAGTGCTTTTACCTCAGGTATCAACATGGCTGCCTCCCTCACCTCCTTCAGGTCTTGGTTCAAATGTCACCTCCTCAGAGGGTCCTTCCCTGACCTCCTTTATAAAATTGCAAACTCTCCCCCTTCCCTGCTCCTGCATTCCCTCAACTGTCCCTGACTCCTTCCCTCTCTGCCATCACCATACGGCACTGTACATCTCACTTCTTTATCTGTCTGACTCCCTTCTCCAGAAGGTTACCCCCCAATAGACACAGACTCCCTGCTTTCACTAGTTATACACTCTAGTAGAAAGACAGTAAGTGAATGTTGTAGGCTGAGAATGACCACAAACCTTTCAGGTCCTAATCCCTGTGATCTGTGAATGTTACCTTATTTGGAAAGGCCTTTGCAGATGTGACTAAATTAAGGACTTCGAGATGGGGACATTATCTTGGATAATCCTGAGGGGCCTTAAGTGCCATCACACCTGCCCTTATAAGAGAGAGGCAGAGAGGCCCTTAGAGAGGCAGAGAGAGATTCGACACACACAGAGAGGAGATGGCAATGTGACCACAGAGGCAGAGGCTGGAGTGATGCGGCCACAAGTCAAGGAATGCTGGCAGCCACCAGAAGCTGGAATAGACAAGGAACGGATTCTCCCCTAGAGCCTCCGGAGGGAGCCCAGCCCTGCCAACACCTTGATTTGGCCCAATGATACTGATCATGGACTTCTGGCATCCACGTAATAGAGAATAAATTTCTGTTGTTTTAAGCCAACAAATTTGTGGTAATTTGTTACAGCAGTCACAGGAAACTAAGACAGTGAATAAACAATTAACTCTAGTGCCAGGTAAATCAGTGCCATGAAGGCAATAAGCCCAGGGAAGGAGGTAGAGAGTTACAAGGAATGCTAAGTTACCGAGGATGAGCAGGAAGACTTACCATGAGCACACGTGTGGGAAGTCAGAACAGCAGCAAGCTCCATCGTGCACAACAAAAGTGAGCAAGCAGAGGAGCAAGCGAGCCGTGCCCTTCAGGCCCACTCTCTGCACCCCCTGGCCCCTCAGCCTCTGGCATGGCTAATGTGAGGGACTAGTAGAGGAGGGCATACTGGAGAGTGAGATGGGGTATTTATCCCATCCCCACACCCACCCTGCTGGGTGCCATCTTCACGATCATTAGGATCGTTGGTATGCTGGAGTCCATTACTGTGGGTAATGTGTCAATCTATCTCACTGAGAGCTTCCCTCATCTTCACTGGCCCTCACTTTACTAAATATGATGTCCTTTCCCAGTGATTGGTCCCTCCCAATGAGGCATCCAAAGTAAGCCAGTCAAAATCTAGGACAATATTCTGCTGTAATCCATAGGATTTTCATTGGCTGATTTTTGGAAGTAAATCACCAGGCCTTTCTTCCTAGTCTGCCTTAGCCTGGAAGCCCCACTGAAATCTGTCCAGCATGGGTGACTCTGCCAGTATTTGTAACATCAGTGGCATAGCTTCCAGCATCATAGCAACACACAAGCCACCACAGTACAACAAACCAACAGATAGGTGGTGGGCCTGATGTTCTAGTTGTTGTGAGGTGTCATGGAGTCAGTTCCGACTCACAGCGACCCTATGTGCAACAGACCAAAACACTGCCTGGTCCTGCGCCATCCTCACAGTCGTTGTTATGCTTGAGCCCATTGTTGCAGCCACTGTGTCAATCCATCTCGTTGAGGGTCTTCCTCTTTTCGGCTGACCCTCCACTTTACCAAGCATGATGTCCTTCTCCAGAGACTGGTCCCTCCTGATAACATGTCCAAAGTATGTGAGACAAAGTCTCACAATCCTCGCTTCTAAGGAGCATTCTGGCTGTACTTCTTCCCAAACAGATTTGTCCGTTCTTCTGGCAGTTCACGGTATATTTAATTTTCTTCGCCAACATCATAATTCAAAGGTATCGATTCTTCTTCGGTCTTCCTTATTCATTGTCCAGCTTTCACATGCATATGAGGCAATTGAAAACACCAAGGCTTGGGTCAGGTGCACCTTAGTCTTTAAAGTGACGTTTGCTTTTTAATACTTTAAAGAGGTCTTTTGCAGATTTGCCCAATGCAATGCATCATTTGATTTCTTGACTGCTGCTTCGACGGGCATTGATTGTGGATCCAAGTAAACTGAAATCCTTGACAACTTCAATCCTTTCTCCGTTTATCATGATGTTGCTTATTGGTACAGTTGTGAGGATTTCTGTTTTCTTTATGTTGAGGTGTAATCCATACTGAAGGCTGTAGCCTTTGATCTTCATCAGTAAGTGCTTCAAGTCCTCTTCACTTTCAGCAAACAAGACTGTGTCATCTGCATATCGGAGGTTGTTAATGAGTCTCCCTGCAATCCTGATGCCCCCTTCTTCTTCATATAGTCCAGCTTCTCAGATTTATTTGCTCAGCATACAGATTGAATAAGTATGGTGAAAGGATACAACCCGGACACATGCCTTTCCTAACTTTAAACCATGTAGTATCCCCTTGTTCTGTTCCAGCTACTGACTCTTCGTCTATGTTCAGGTTCCTCATGAGCACATTTAAGTGTTCTGGAATTCCCATTCTTTGCAATGTTATTCATAATTTGTTATGATCCACATAGTTGAATGCCTTTGCATTGTCAATGTCTTAGTCATCTAGTGCTGCTGTAACAGAAATAGCACAAGTGGATGGCTTTAACAAACAGAAGTTTATTCTCTCACAGCCTAGTAGGCTAGAAGTCCAAATTCAGGGCGTCAGCTCCAGGGGAATGCTTTCTCTGTTGGCTCTGGAGGAAGGTCCTTGTCATCAATCTTCCCCTGGACTAGGAGCTTCTCTACGCAGGAAGCCTGGGTCCAAAGGACGCGCTCTGATCCCAGTGCTGTTTTCTTGGTGGTAGGAAGTCCCCTTGTCTCTGCTTGCTTCTCTCTTCTATATCTCAAAAAGAGATATCTCAAAAGAGATATGGATTAAGGCACAATCTAATCTTGTAGATTGAGTCCTGCCTTATTAACGTAACTGCCACCTATCCCACCTCATTAAAATCATACAGGTAGAATTTACAACTCATAGGAAAATCACATCAGATGACCAAATAGCGGACAATCACACAATACTGAGAATCATGGCCTAACAAAACTGATACACATATTTTGGGGGACACAATTCAATCCATGACAGTCAATAAAACACAAAGCAAACATCTTTCTGGTATTTTCTGCTTTCAGCCAAGATCCATCTGACATCAGCATTGATATCCCTGGTTCCACGTCCTCTTCTGAATCCAGCTTGAACTTCTGGCAGTTCCCTGTTGATGTACTGCTGCAACCGCTTTGGAATGATCTTCAGCAAAATTTTACTTGTGTGTGATATTAACGATATTGTTCAATAATTTCCACATTCGGCTGGATCACCCTTCTTTGGAATGGGCACAAATATGGATCTCTTCCAGTCGGTTGGCCAGGAGGCTGTCTTCCGAATTTCTTGACACAGACGAGTCAGCATTTCCATCGCTGCATCTGTTTGTTGAAACATCTCAATTGTTATTCCATCAGTTCTTGAAGGCCTGTTTTTCGCCAATGCCTTCAGTGCAGCTTGGGCTTCTTCCTTCAGTACCATCAGTTCCTGATCATATGCTACCTCCTGAAATGGTTGAACGTTGACCAATTCTTTTTGGTACAGTGACTCTGTGTATTCCTTCCATCTTCTTTTGATGCTTCCTGGGTCATTTAATATTTTCCCAGTAGAATCCTTCAATATTGCAACTCGAGGCTTAAATTTTCTCTTCAGTTCTTTCAGCTTGAGAAATGCTGAGCGTGGTCTTCTCTTTTAGTTTTCTAACTCTAGAACTTTGCACATTTCATTATAATACTTTGTCTTCTCAAGCAGACTGTTGAAATCTTCTACTCAGCTCTTTTACTTCATCATTTCTTCCTTTCTCTTTAGCTACTTTACATTCAAGAGCAAGTTTCAGAGTCTCTTCTGATGTCTGTTTTGGTCTTTCCTTTCTTTCTTGTCTTTTTAATGACCTCTTGCTTTCTTCATGTATGATGTCCTTGATGTCATTACACAACTCGTCTGGTCTCTGGTCATTAGTGTTCAATGCATCAAATCTATTCTTGAGATGGTCTCTAAATTCAGGTGGAATATACTCAAGGTTGTATTTTGGCTCTTGTGGACTTGTTCTAATTTACTTCAACTTGAACTTCCATATGAGCAACTGATGGTCTGTTCCACAGTTGGCCCCTGACCTTGTTCTAACTGGTGATACTGAGCTTTTCCATAGTCTCTTTCCTTAGACGTAGTCATTTTGATTCCTGTGTATTCCATCTGGCCAGATCCACATGTATAATTGCCATTTATGTGTTGAAAAAGGGTATATGCAATAAAGAAGTTGTTGGTATTGCAAAATTCTGTCATACGATCTCCAGCATCACTTCTATCACCAAGGCCATATTTTCCAACTACTGATTCTTCTTCTGTTTCAAACTTTTGCATTCCAATCACCAGTAGTTATCAATGCATCCTGATTGCATGTTCGGTCAACTTCAGACTGCAGAAGTTGGTAAAAATCTTCATCTTTGGCCTTAGTGCTTGGTGTGTAAATTTGAATAACAGTCATATTAACTGGTCTTCCTTGTAGATGTGTGGGTATTATCGTATCACTGACAGTGTTGTACTTTAGGATAGATCTTGAAATGTTTTTTTGATGATGAATGTGATGCCATTCCTCTTCAATTTGTCATTCCTGGCTTAGTAGACCATATGACTCTGAAATGGCCAATACAAGTGCATTTCAGCTCATTAACGCCTAGGATATCAATGTTTATGCATTTCATTTTTGCTGATTTCCAATTACCCTAGATTCATACTTCATGCATTCCACGTTCCTATTATTAATGTATGTTGGCAGCTGTTTCTTCTCATTTTCAGTAGTACCGCACTAGCAAATGAGGTCCCGAAAGCTTGACTCCATCCACATCATTAAAGCCGACTCCAGTTTGAGGAGGCAGCTCTTCCCCATTAGTATTTTGAGTGTCTTCCAACCTGAGGTGCTCATCTTCTGGCAGTATATCAGACCATGGTCTGCTGCTATTCATAAGGTTTTCACTGGCTAATTTTTTTCAGAAGTAGACAGCCAGATCCTTATTCCTAGTCTGTCTTAGTCTGGAAGCTCAGCTGAAACCTGTCCACCAAGGGTGACCCTGCTGGTATTTGAAATACCAGTGGCATAGTTTCCAGCGTCACAGCAACACGCAAGCCACCACAGTACGACAAAATGACAGACACTTGGGGGTGGGCCTGACAAATATTCTATATGTATAGGATATATCCAAGCAAAGATGTTGTGGCCCAGCCCCTGAGGGCCTCCATGCCTCCTTGGGACATTTTACTGCAAGTGACCAACTGAGGAGCCACAGGCAAAGTGAGGGCACCAGCATCAATCTGAGTTTTAATAAATATTAGAAGAGCATAACTTCTTTCTTTTTAGAAATAAAAATCCAAATATTTTCTTCCTTTCCACTGGTAATTTTCTTGCACCCAGGGGTAAGAGCTCCCCACTTTGCAGGCCATTGGCCAAGACCTGACTAGAGGTTTATACAAAAAGGAAGGCTGGAGCCTGCATCTGGCCAGCTCTGCCCCTTGTTCACGATGACCCTGCTGACAGCTTCCTGGGCAGGGAGATGAAGTGGGAGGGTGGTCCAGGGAAGACAGAGTCCCCGCTCCCATCCAGCATTCTAGGATTCTCCACTTCTAGGCCATGTGCCACCCTTCCAGTGCTGGATTCGGCACCCATGCTATGGGGACAATTCCTCTGGTCACTTCAATCCTCCAATACCTTGTCCAGCTGTGCCACTCCTGAACCTGGGCAGAGCAGCGCCAGCTCTGGGAAGTGCAAACCCCCGGGGATATCTCAGCCTGACAGAGGTTCACTTCTCCACTGGGTTATACTACTGGTGCGCGCTGCCCAGCCTGTGAGTCCTGAAACAGGGACCATGGCCTCCCCAGCTCCTGCCCCTCACTGCAGGCCTCAGCCACGTGCCCAGACGAGGGGACAAAGCCGGCGCACCTTCCCAAGGCGACTACCAAGCCAAGCAGGGTTCTTGGCTTCCAGATAGCTTGGGTCAGAGTGGCCCGTCGCTGCGCCTCCTAGAGCTTCCCGCAGGGAAACTGCGGACCCTGCCTTGGGTTTCCACATCCCCAGGCGGCCGCATCAGAGCACGCACAGCTCTTACGCCGCAGTTTTCAGTGCACCCATCTCACCGTAGCTGCGCTGTCACTCTGGGAAGGAAGAATGAAAGGCTGAGGAAGGAAGAGGGGGAGAACTGAGGGAAGGAGGCCGGGAAGGGGGCTCAGGAGCGTGGCCAAGGGGCGGGGGTTCGGGGGCGG